GCTCCAGTCTTGTATGTCCAACTGTCTGCTCAGCACTTCCCCTGGGCTCCGTTGTCAGATCCAAAATAGACTCACATTTGCCACAGAAATCAGCTTCTGCTGCCTGTCTCAGCAGCTCTACTCCTGCAGTTGTTGGGGCCAAGACTCAGGACACACCCTTGGCTCATCCTCTCCCACACCCGGTCATCCCATCCCTCGGCAAATCCTGTGTCACCAATTGCACGTACACACCAGCATACTCCAGAAAGTTCATGGAGAAATGGAACTAAAAGCTGAGTTTATTTTTGTGTAAGAAAGTTTTGGAGTCCGTGCATAGTTTTATCATAAAATATGTTTCCTGTGAATTTTGAAGAGGAATCCAGCCACACGTACCATCTCCACATCTACCACACTTGTCTGAGACATGGCAGGTTCACATGGAAGACCTCTCTTTCTACCCCCAACCCTGCCCAGATGCACTGCTGTCTCACAGTGTGTTGGGCAAACCTCGTCATACGTTTCTTAGAAAACTCCCATTGACTTTCCATGTTAGGCTAAAGACACAGTTCTTACCATGGTCTCCAGGGCTCCATGTGTCTCGGTCTCTAACCTTTCTTATGTCCCATCCCACTCTGTCGCCCTTGCATTCAGCCACATCCAGGCCGGCATACTTGCTGTTCTCAAACACACCCAGGAACCACTGTGCCTGGAACACATTCCTGTTCCCTTGAACAACTTAATCGACCTGGAATGAAAGAAATACTAAAATTTATGCAAATGGCATCTTTGCGTTGAGGTACTCCCCTAGCTGCCCTGTATAAAAAAGCAACTCCCCTCACCAACTCCTACCACACACACATTTCCTGCCCCTCTGCAACTCCGTCTCTCTGCATAGCACTTGTCATCCTCTGAAATGTTGTCTCTGCTTTTTTGTCCATTAAGGTGGTTCTTGTACATTACGGCAGCTACTTAGTAAATATTTGCCCAACTAGGAATAATGGCTAACACATTCATCTACTCATTTAACCCCTTGAACAATCTTAGGAGCTGCTATTATTACAATTTTATATGAAGAACCTGTGCAGAGGCTGATCAATCAGTTAGCAACTCGATATGCACCCTTGAGTACTGTAATATATAAGACACTGACCACGTTTTCTAGGGAAATATCTCATAGGTGTTATTAATATAACTGATTCTGTTTACCTGGAAAAGTTTGTGAGTTATGATTCAGTGATGATTAAAAACAGAGCTAACTAGACAACACTGTGGTTTTTTTGTGGCTTGTAGAAAAAAAAGTAGTCAGTAATTTTCTCATAATAATTTATTAAAATTAGCTCATTACATCTGCAGTATTTATTCATTTATTTCTTAGATAGTGTTTACAATGGGTAAGTGAATGAATGAGTGCATTTTACCAATGTTGTCATGTGTTACTTTGTACTTATTCCACATAAGATGTCAATATTTCTTTCATTTTATGATACCATTAAGATATGCACAATTAAAATTACCTACTGAGCTTGAAAAAAAAACAGGATTAAATGCACATTATTTAAAGAGTATTAACTTGGTTCCTGACTGGCCCAAGTCATGGAAATATATGCAGCTTCCCTGATAAAATACGGTTTATCTCCTCTGTTGGCTTGTGTGTGAGGCTTTTTGAATGGTTCCCTATTTGTGGGGGTTGCCGGTGTTAGCTTTCACGGGGATATTGTATTCATAATTCATACTCTGTGTTCTCAGAAGCAGTTTTAATTAGAACACAAATTATGACTCCCAATAGAAAGCATTCTGTAAGTAGCCAAGCATAATAATGAAAAAAGAAGGATCTCTGGGTATGGCACCTTAATATATTTACATATAAATGACCAAAATCTTATCTTTGTCCACCACCACAGTCCCTCATTGAGAGCCTAGTAGGCTTTTGATGGTTTCTGTTCAGTATTGGGCAGGTGGGAAGGGGGGTGGGCAACACCAACACGGCTCAGTGAATGCAGAGAAGGTAACGGACATGATTGTTTGGGGCAGCATTGTGCCAGGCGCCCTCACCCAAGTCTCTTAAGTGGAGGGTGATTCCGGGCGAGCCGGGGCAGGTGTTCTGGTTTGGCGCCCCCATCTCTTGGGGGCAGGTGTTCTGGTTTGGCGCCCCCATCTCTTCTCTGAGCTCAAGTTCCAGCTCTTCCACTTCTGATTCAGCTTCTTGCTGATGTGCACCCTGGGAGGCAACAGGAAGTGGCTCAAATACTTGGGTCCCTGCCATGCACGCACATGGGAGTCCCAGACAGAGTTCCATGCTCCTAGCTTTGGCCTCGTCCAGCCCTGGCTGTGGTGGGCATTTGGGGGGTGAACCAGTGGATGAAAGGTTCTGTGCCCTCCTCAACTTTCTCTCCCTCCCACTCTCTCTCTCTCCCTCTTTCTCTCTGTGTGTGTGTGTGTGTTTATACACGTGCACATCTCTGTTTCTCAAATTCAAAGACAATGAATCAATAGGGTGTTTTTGTTTTTTAAGTTACTCAGGTGGAAGTGCTAGGGGTGGTGTGGGGGAGGCTGTGCTCCAGGCTAAAAGGCAGTAGAGAGGCCTTCGGGAGCCTGGGGTAGGGGGTGGGGTTCAGCCTGTCAGGGTGTGGTCTCTGAGGGGTCAGTCTCTGCGGGGCTCAGTCACTGAGGTCCCACTCTGCAAGGAGCTGAGTCTGTGTGGGGCTTCATCTCGGGGACACCATCTGTGTGGGACTCAGCCTGTGTGAAGCTGTGGGCGGGGCTCTGGCTGTGAGGAGAGCAGGGGTGGAGGTTTGGCCTGTGAAGGATTCCGTCTCTGAGCAGTGTTGTGGTGGGAGTTCAGGCCAGCAGTTGTCGGGGGGCTGTGTGACATCGTGGTGCAGATACGGCTGGAGAGGCCCACAGAGGTGAACTCAGTAGTTGTAGCTGCTGGCTGCTGCTCTGACATTCTCCAGTCTAGTTACTGAATAGGCTTTGTTGTTTATTTCTTTTTTCTGCCTCTGCAAACCCTACTGAGATATAAAAGGTAATGGAGAGTGAAGGAGGGAGGTCTAGGAAAACCAAGATCTACTAGAACCATGAATCCATATTCCTAGGTTCCAGTGTCTGGAATTGCCAGTGTAAAATCATGTTTTTGAGGTTTTTCCATTTTTAAAGTAAACATTTTTAACTGTAAATTTCCTCTTAGCACCTCTTTTACTGCACCCCATAAGCTTTGGTACATTGTATTTTCACTTCCATTTCCTTTAACACATTTGCCAATTTCCTTCATGATTTCAGTTTCTTTGTCCTTGGTGAAGAGTACGTTGTTTAATTTCTATGGATTTGTGAATTTTCTGGTTTTTCTTCTGTTGTTGACTTCTGGTTTTCTTCCACTGGAGTCAGAAAAGATGCTTCATGTGGTTTTGACGTTGTAAAATTTATTAAGATTTATAGCCAAGTATATGGTCTGCCTGGAGCACGTCCATGTGAACTTGAGAAAAATGTGTTTCTGCGTTTTTGACTGAAGGGTTCCATGGGTGTCTGGAGGACCAGTTGATCTGTAGTGTTATTCAAGTCATCTCTTTCCTTATTGATGTTTTGTTTAGTTCTAACCAGTATTGAAAGTAGAATATCAAAGTCTCCAAGTATTATTATAGAGCCATTTCTTTCTTTTCTTTTGAAATATTTATTTATTTGAAAGAGTTACAGAGGCAGAGAGAGAGAGAGAGAGAGGTCTTCTATCCACTGGTCCTCTACCCAAATGGCAGCAGCGGCCAAAGCTGGGCCGATCTGAAGCCAGGGGCCTAGAGCTTCTTCCGGATCTCCCATGCCCGTGCAGGGGCCCAAGCACTTGGGCCACCTTCTGCTTTCCCAGGCCATAGCAGAGAGCTGGATCGCAAGTGGAGCAGCTGGACTGAAACCTGTGCCCGTATGGGATGCTGGCACTGCAAGTGGCAGCTTTACCCACTGTGCCACAGCGTTGGCCCCAGTATTTCTTTCTTTAATTCTGTCAATATTTTTATCCTATATTTTAGAGCTCTGATGTTGGTTGTGTGAATGTTTATAATTGCTGTGTCTTCTTAGTAAATTAACCCTTTTATTGACATAAAATGTCCTTCTTTGTATCTTACAATTTTTGCTTCTTTTATATTATTAATATGACTTTTTAAGTTTAAGCATTTTCACGGTACTTATTTTTAAATTTGAGAGAGAGCTAGATAGGTACAGAGAGAGGGCTCCCATCTGCTGGTTGACTCCCCAAATGCCTGCAATGTCTAGGACTGGGCTGGGCCGAAGCTGGCCCAATCAATCTGAGTCTCCCATGTAGGTGGCAGAAGCCCAATTACTTGAGCCATCTCCACTGCTTCCAAGGGTGTGTCCTAGCAGGAAGCAGGAGTCAGGAGTCAGAGGCAGGCACTGGACCTGGAAACTGTGATACTGGACATGGGCATCTCAATCTTGAGGCCAAATGCCTGTTCCCAGAAAATTTTTCTAAACACCATCTCACCCATTTCATGCAGTGTGAATGACATCTTTCATTAACATGTAAGGAGTCCTTAAAGAACACAAAGTTTTTTTTTTTTTAATTTTAATGTATGACGGTCTTTATTTACAACTTTATTGGCAAAAAAGAAGAGGGAAAACTTTTAAACACTTTAACACAGGGCATTATAACTGATCCTGTCAGATTAAAGTCCCATTTTAAATGTCCATCTACTTGTCCAAAGATATACAATACTGAATCTGCATATGCAGTTTCCTTTATGAAGTACAGTTCTCATATTCAGGCAGTCTTTTAAACATATAAATACAAAGGAAATGAAATCACTCACTAAAAACTGCATCAAATGAAGGGTATTTTAAAGTAAGTTTATGTTGTTCAGGGAATAACACATGCCCAATGAGAACCAAAAGCTGAAAAAGCAGTTACAATTCCTACTTGAGTGGACAGTTACAACAATCAATCATTTTCTGCAATGACCATTATATTTTCAATTTATCATGAACTACTCTGAACTTACTATGAGATGTAGTCAAAGTCAGAAGAGAAGACGTAGGGAGAATATTCCTTTTTTGGAGAACAAACCCTCCAGAATCAGCATGAGAAACAAACATCCTGTTGATTCTAGGCGGAAAAAAATTAATGTAGTCAATTTCAACTCACGTTGAGCTGACTTAATTTTGTCATTGACTTGCTTGGTGTCATTCTTCTAAATCAAGTGTGTTTAATTCTTCTTCTAGTTCATCCAAATCTTCCCCAGTAAAAAGATTTTCATCAACAGGAACGGCATCAATGGCTCCATTTTCCTGCCCTTCCCCTTCATTGTCTTCTTCCAGATCACTTCTTTCACCATTTTCAGCCCTACCTCCAGAAGCTTCGCTTAATTTGTTTTCGTCTTTATCTGAAGTATATGTGCTGAATCTTTCAAGACTGGCTACAGTAATACCTGTCTCATCTACATCTCTTGGGACGTACAGGCTTAAATCTATGTCATTAACGCTCATTGAATCATCAACCTCATCACCACCTGTTCCTTGGGTGTAATGGGTATCATCTGCTTCTTCATCATCATCATTGACCAATTCAGGACGAAATTCAAATACCTCACGACCACTGATCACTAGTGCTTTGCCTGCTTTGAAGTCAGCTTTTCTTCTTTCCATATCTTGTTCAAGTCTATCAATTTTTTCTTGTCTTTTCCTTTTTTTCCATGCAAGAAAAGATTCTAGAGTGATTTTGGTAACATTTGGGCCTAGGGCAGCACGCTCTCTTTCAATTAGATCTTCTAATGAAATTTCATCCTCTTTCTCTTCTTTCTTTTTGTCTTTTTTCAACACAAATCCAGGAGGAAGTGCATGGCGATACATGCAATTATCGCCCCCTCCAGGGCAAACCCAAAACCAGCCATACTTGTTTTCAATGGCTTCAAGGAAATGCTTGCATACTATTTGAGTTTTTGGTTTTTTCTTTTCCGCCTCACCGTGCTTCTTGTTCACTACTTCTTCCAGCTTTTTCTCATCCCAATTATCCATAGTATCCTTTTCAAGTTCTTCATCTCTTGCATCAATGTAAACACTCCGCTTTTCACATTTTCTCTCCAGAGTCAAGTCATGAGAGAATTTACACTTATCTCCTTTAGTACATTGTCCTTGCTTGAAGAATGCACATACTACGGACTTGGGATCTGCACCTTTACTAATTTTTTGAGCAGCAACTACAGGCTGGAAGAGCTCATTTAGTTCCTGTAATTCTTTCTTCTTGTCATCTTTCTTCAATTTCTTCTCAGCTTCACTTTGTGCTACCTGACGTGGATTTTGTTGACCAAATTTAACCTGATGAGTGACAGCTTTGATAAACTTCTGTTGCTTTGCTCCTTTCTTATTCTTTAGACCAAAAGTTTTGTCTTCGATAATCTTTTCCTTCTTTTTCTGCTCCGCCTTTTTGCTGCCCCCGGCCTGAGCCTGTTTCTTGGGGGGCATTGCGGAGACAGGTGGCACCGGCCAGACTTAAACGCAGCTGGATACCGTCGGGGGATCTGGCCCCGCGGCAAGAGGAGGAAGACCCGGCCACCGTCGCCAAAGAATACAAAGTTTTACATCTCAGGAATCATATGGTTACTAGTACTGAAATTTTTTTTGACAGGCAGAGTTAGTGAGAGAGAGAGACAGAGAAAGGTCTTCCTTCCGTTGGTTCACCCCCCAAATGGCCACTATGGCAGTCGCGCTGCACCGATCCAAAGCCAGGAGCCAGGTGCTTCTCCTGGTCTCCCATGCGGGTGCAGGGCCCAAAGCACTTGGGCCATCTTCCACTGCCTTCCCGGGCCACAGCAGAGAGCTGGACTGGAAGAGGAGCAACTGGGACAGAATCCAGCACCCCAACAGGGACTAGAACCCGGGGTGCCGGCACTGCAGGTGGAGGATTAGCTTAGTGAGCTGCAGCGCCAGTCACTAATACTGAAATTTGACAATCCATTGATTGTCATAAAGAATAGAATCATTCTCAAAATAAAAAGCATCAGTTGCAGAAATTATCTGTTTATTCACAGGTGGATTGTGTAGCTATTTATTTGAGTTAAGAACACATAATATCTGAGTCAGCGAGCTTAGGCTTATAAAAACAGAACATAAGAGGTGTTGCCATAGACTCCATTGCTGCTAATTCCCTAATAGAGCAACACTTGGGGCATATTGAAAGAGCGCCTATGCAGTAATCAGTTTCAGAATGTATCAGATTAGACTTTCTAGGTTGAGATGCTCCTGATGATGATTTATTAAAAGAAACAGGCTCTCTGCTCCAACTAAACCCGAGTTCTTGTCCCCTGCGACTTCACTGTCAGCTTCCTGCCCCATGTTTTCTCTGCGTCTTCCGTTCCAGGAGTTTTCCTTCTACTCCTTGCGGGTGTCTACACCCTTCTTTTCTTCTGTTCAAGCCCAATAAACTTAATTTCTTGCAGTCCCACTCTTCATGCCCTTCTGCCTGAAAGCCACCCACCTCTGTACCCCAGCACATCCATCTGGCCATCACCCTCCATTCAGGGTCTCTTCTCCACCCTGGGATCCCAAAGCACGCTCCTCGGTCCTCAAGGAAAACTGTCATTATGAGTTACAGTTGTTTCTTACCTGTGAGCACCCTCCATCTATGATCCCAGTGGCCAGAGCCCACAGAATATTTCCCTTTCCTGAAATCCTACAGCATTTTAAACATCAGTATTGATTACTATACTGACCGTTCATTCATTCACTGAACAAGTAATATGGAACCCCTACCTTGTGCAGCCTGGCATTGTTAGTGGGGGTACAGCAATGAGTAAGATGAATGCCTTCCCCCTGTAAATCCTATGTGATTACAGGAGAGATGGACAGCAGACAGACAAGTAGCGTGATAAGCAATGGAGTTTGTCGTAGGTAGTGTTATAGTCTGTTGAGAAAAATAAAAAATCAGGGGATTAGCAAAACTGGCAGGTGGGTGGGAGGTTTGGCTGCTCAGTACAAAATGGTCATGGGACATCTGAGCACAGACTTGCAGGAGGTGGGGTGATCAGGACCAGGTCTGGATTCGTGGGTTTGTGGTCACACGGAGCCTGAGGTCAGGAGGCCCCACCTTTGAGTTTCAATGCTTGGTTATTGCCATCTGGAAAGTCTTCATCATTGCATGTTTGAATTTGTGTGTGGTGTGTGTGCATTTAAAGATTTATTTATTTATTTGAAAGAGTTACAGAGAGAGGGAGAGAGAGATCTTCCATCCGCTGGTTCACTCTCCAAACGGCCACAATAGCCAGGGCTGGGCCAGGCCAAAGCCAGGATCTAGGATCCAGGAACTGCAGCCGGGTCCCTCATGTAATGTAGCAGAGACCTTTGTCATTGTCTTTTAATTAAACTTGTTTCTAACTGACAGGATAACAGTTGAGGTAGAGACCTTCCCAAGGGCAGAAGCAGAAAAGGAATCATCTGTCCTGGGAATGAAATGTGGCTGTTATCTACTTGCCTATGAATGCTTCAGCTGCAATCCCTGTCTGCTTATATGTAGCCATTTCAAGGTTCTACTCATTAGCACAGAGCATTGATGTTAACCCTCGCCAGACAGCTTACAGCTCAGTGTGGGGGTGGAAACAAAAACCATCTAAGGACGTTGGCATGTGCAGTATTGTATCATTCCTGTGGCCACCATGTAATATTAGGATACTCAATCAGATGTATGCAAGCAACCATATAAGGGAGACAAAGAGTTGCTAAAACCATGGGTAAGGGAAAACCCTTATTTGTTTGGGGCTCAGGATTTTGGATAAGAAACTCCACCTGGGCCTTATGCTGGCATAATAAAAGACTACTTCCTGTTAAAAGGCCTTGGTGTCTTGTCTCAGTACATGAATCCTGCTACAGTAGGTGGCAGGGGCCCAAACACTTGGGCCATCTTCTGCTGCTTTTCCCAGGCCATTAGTAGGTATCTGGATTGGAAGTGGAGCAGCTGGGATACTAACAGGTACCCACATGGGATGCTGGCATGGCAGGCTGTGGCTTTACCAACTATGTCACAATACCGGCCCCGTGAATTTGTGTTTTTTAATCTGATGGGACAGTGGAGGGCCTGGCCCCAGGTGTCAGGAGGGCGGGGACCCCAGGGGGCTGGAGAGGGGTCTGCACTCACCCTGCTAGTAAGAATCCCACAGCTCAGGCAGCATGGCCTCAGAATACAAATAAAAAACATGAAAAGCAAGGAAAAGTCCTTTTCGCTCCTGCCATCTGAATAAGGGGCCCACATCTTGATCTTGCGTGGGTCCCACGAGTTATATAGCCAGCACCATGCGTGGTGGTCGGACGCAAAGTGTCCTGGCCCAGGGGCCTGCAGGCACAGCATGAGAAATAATGTGTGCTGTGTGTGTGTGGTGGGGGCAAGGGGCCTGTGTGGCTGGCGGGAGGTGCAGCCAGGAGACAGGCCTGCTGGCAGCCTGGCGACACTGCAGTTTCTGCCCGTTCTGGGGCAGCTCTTTCTCAGTGCTCAGATCCTGGCTGGCTGAAGGGAGTCTGGGTGCCAGCTTGAGTAAGGGATGTGCACCCCAAGGTGACCTTGGAAATCATCCAACCCCACCATAGCTTCAGTCTCCTATGTCTTTTTTGCTGCCCCTGGTTTTCTCAGCGTGCACCTCCATAAAGCAGGCTGAGATGTGGGAATCCCAGCAGTGTGAGGGCTTCTGCGTGTGCAGCAAAGTCGTCCCACCTGCTGAGATATTTCTTTTTTTTTAATTTTTAAAGATTTATTTATTTATTTGAAAGTCAGAGTTACGCAGAGAGGAGAGGCAGAGAGAGAGAGAGAGAGAGAGAAATCTTCCATCCGATGGTTCACTCCCCAATTGGCCACAACTCCCAGAGCTGCACCAATCTGAAGCCAGGAGCCAGGAGCTTCTTCCGGGTCTCCGACATGGGCGCAGGGACCCAAGGACTTGGGCCATCCTCCACTGCCCTCCCAGGCCATAGCAGAGAGCTGGATTGAAAGTGGAGCAGCCGGGTCTCGAACTGGTGCCCATATGGAATGCCGGTGCATCAGGCCAGGGCGTTAACCCACTGCACCACAGCACCAGCCCCTGCTGAGATACTTCTAAAGCCGTGTCTTATCTCTCCAAATCCTCAAAGCCTAGTGAATTACACATGTTGGTCATGATGCTGGTGCGGCGGCCCCAGCACATGATGGAAATCTGGTTTTTCCCACGAGGAGAGATGCGAACAGCTGGGGTTTTTGAGCAGTGCTCCAGTTCTGGTTTCGAAACAGGCGTCCAGAATTCTGCCAGGCCCTCCTTTTGCCACACCCAGATGATTCATGTTACAGCTTGAAGTAGAAGTGCCTTGCTGCCTGTGTGTCCTAGGCTCCCGAGCCCCATTCCCTGCCATCCGTCCTTCCTGCCCACTGCCAGTCTCGGCCCACTCTCTCACTCACTCATGTCCCCAGCCCCTAGGACCTGGACGATCAGGATGGTGCCACCAGTGTCCATGTGGACAACCCATCAAATGACCTGCCCTGTGCCTGGGCCTGCTGCTGTCCTACCCAGGGCCACTCTCAAGAATGGGGCTCCCCAAAGCTTCTCTTTGCTCTGTGATCTTAATCTCCACCACTCTGTGTCTGCCTTTAGCTTGGTGGACAACTGCCCACTTTCTGCTGTGCTAGGGCCTGTTCTTCTTTTTCATGATTTATTCCAGTTTTATTTTCCCATCTCCATTTTAATAACAGATCCAGAGAACTGATTGACACTATTGTAAGCTGTCACTGTTGTGTAGCACCTATGGATTTGCGATTTCTGCATTTTTGTTGAACAGGGTGATGCTGTCTTTTTTGAAACAGAAGTGGAAAAGAAGCGATCCTTTAAATGAAGCAGTCAGTGTATGTGGATGCTTCGTTCTCAGATAGTGATGGAAATGTGCCACTCCCAGAGGAAAGGCTCGAGGACACATTTGCAACCTGCAGCTTAGGAAGTCAGGAGATGAGCGCCATTGGAATCCCTCCCAGAACAGCAAGACTGCAACAGGGAGCCATTCCTAGTTTAAAATTTTTGCACCACCATCTTTATGTCTGTTCTTCAGTGTCATTGAGAGAAGTGAGTTTATTGAGAGCCCCTAGTGCCCGTCCTCCTGCCGGGCTTCTCCATCCAGCCTGACCCCCAAGCCTCCCCATAGTCTTTCCTGCCTGCATCATTTCTTCTTTGCCCGGCTCGTCCACTCTGCAGATGCAAAACCTGACGTCAGTGCAACTGCATGCATCCTCTGCTCCTGCTTCGGGGCTGCTGGGTCCCTTGGCAGCTTAGAGCTGCAGAGAAGCCCGTGGGCCCTGATCGTAGCCCAGCCCTCAGCACCGCTTCCCTTCCTTTCCTGCAATTCCGGTTCAACTCATCTCTCGTTCTCTTACATATCATTTATTCCAGACATTTATTCCTACTTCTAAACTACCTGTTCCCAAGTTTTTGAGGGAGTACTTTGTAAATCACTTCAGTCATACTGGAATGATATACAGCTGCTTCTTTTTTGTTTTTTTTTAACAGGATTTGATGAAATTTTAATAGACTTTTTTATAGTAATTTGGGTTTTAT